TTACAGACAGCATTCCGAAGCTACAACACCTACTCTTAGCTTGGTTGTACTCTTACTGAAGTGGGTGCTTCTGGGTTTAGGCAAAGGGAAGTTGCATCAACCAGCCCTCAGGGCCTCCAGTTCCATCACACAGACCTGCCTAGGAAACGGGAGGATTCCTGGGCAGGGCAGTGAGCCCTGAGGAAGGTACCTGCCCTGTCCTTTGTTCTTATCCGGAGTCAGATGACCAGGTTACAGTCAGCTGAAGCTGGGAAGCTCACTTTGGTCTCATTCCAGGCTTAAGGCCACACCCTACACAACTGACTAGTTTGCAAATCCAGCAATCATTCATATTTATTGAGCAACACATATTTACAGGCAACACATATTCATTGAGCAGCTATTCTAGATCAAGGCCTGTGCCAGGTGCTGGGGATACCATGGGAGCAAACCCGTCCCTGGGGGTTCCTTACCATCTTGGAGCTGACAGACTTATGTGAGGCAGATATTAATCAATCACTAAGGGGAGGTACAGTGTGCTGTGGACATGGGTAATGGGAGTTCCAATCTCAGGGTGGGAGGGTGAGGTGGGAGGCAGGACAAGTTTCCTTTCAGAAGTGACATATGAGCTGAGCCTGAACTCAATGAGAGGCCATGATGGTGGGAGTGAGAGCAACTGCAAAGGGCCTGTGGTAGCACATTTGAAAGTCTGAAAGAATGGTATGCTTAGAGTACAGATGAGAGGGAGAGGGGCGAAAGAAGTAACAGGGGACAGAAAGCAGGCAGAAACTAAATAATCACATTCTCATTAATGTGACATTTGCAAAGATGAAGGAACTGGATGGAGTAGCAGATGTGAAGCCCCTGAAAGCTGTTATACAGGAGGGTGCCCTAGAAGCCAAATGAGAGGAAATACTCCAGCAAGTGGGATTTGAATCAGATAGCGGGAACTTCCTGGCCCGAAGGAGACCCTGGGGGATTACTTTCTCTAGTTTACCTGCTGCGTCTGCCAGGTAGCAGAAGGTTTGCTCATTCACTTCTCTCTCCTGTTCCCTCCGCTACATTACTCCCCATCCTTGCTGCTTATTAAGGGAGGACCGTGGACAGCTCTGTCAGGGTGGGTCTGTTGTATGGAGAGGGTCTGGGACTGGGAAGAGGAGGGAGGGAAAGATGCAGGGGCAGAGAGGATGTTCTGGGGTGTCTCTGGGCTGCTCAGGGGATGTGGAGAAGAGAGAGGAGGGGACAATGAGCAGCAGCCAAGAACAGGAGTCAGGGTGGGACAGGGAAGGAGAGTGGTCAAGACGGTGCATCTCTGGGGGACCCAACCAGTGGATCCTCTTAAAGAGGATCTTTATCCTCTTTAAGGATCTTTATCCTTAAGCTAGAGGATCTTTAACCTGGGGGCACTTCAGGTCCCAGACTTAGCTGCTGAAAGGTGAGACAGCAGGTACCTGGTGGTTGCAGGTAGAACAGATCTGCCAGTTGTTCTCTGATAGTTTTTTGGGAAGACCTATCTGCTTGCCTGGGTCTCCTCTTTAGACTATAAGCTCCTTGAGTGAAAGGTCTAGGCCTTGTTCAAAGTCAGTTCTCTCAATACCTGGTGCAGTTAATATTTATTAAATGAATGAAAGCACAAACAAAAGAACACAGAATTGTAGTGATGACTTGGAGAACTGGAGATTGCCCACAGCTACTGATGGGACCCAACCCTGAAGGTCTGAACCTTGATCTATGTTATCACCAGATTCTTCCAAGAACCAGGGTGCCTATTCCCATGCATAGAAGGCAGCTCAAAACACAGAAGCTCTTAAGGTCAGCCAAGTGAAGTTCTGGTTAAGGATGGGGCTCTGCAGCTGATGTCCTGGGTTCAAGTGCTGCTTCTACCACTTCCTTACTGTCACCTTGGGCAAATTACATACAACTTTGTGCCTCATTTTTCTCACCTGTAAAATAGGAGAATTAGTTAGATATGAGGGTTGCGATGAAAATGAAGAGAGCCAAGCCTTTTAGAACACTGCTTAGCACACAGCAAGTGCTCCATCAACGCTAGCAATTGTTGTCTGAGACAGGAGACCTGGAAAGGGATTTATTCAGTCCTGGTCTCTAATCCCCAGCACAATGCCTTAGACCCAGAGTGCCTTAGTGGCCTCTTCCCCCAGGCCCACCTGCTTCAGTCACCAGCCTGCCAAGGCCCCTTTGCCTTCCTCAGCTAGAGAAGTGCAGACCTCATCATCTGGGCTGACTGCCACTTGCTCCACAGCGTCCTTGGGGCAAGGCACTTTCTTTAATTGCCCCAGGCTTTTGCTTTTTAAGTGTAAAAATGGCTATACTAAAACTCATCTGCCAGGGTTGTTGTGGGGATTTTGTGCCTGGCAGTCAGTCTGTGTCCAGAATGCCACTGTCCTGCCTGTACAGGCAAACTCACAGATGCCACCCCCCACTCCTGCCCTTACCGCTCCCACCACCAGACTGGAGAGCCAGAGGCCCTGTGCCTGGATTCCTGGCCTCCCCGGCTCTAACACCAAAACTCTGGACAAGAGTTGCACTGTCCTTGTGAAGACCAACTGGCAGGCTCTCTCCCTGGCAGCCTGAGACAGGCTTCACAGGCTTCACCAGGGACTCCTTTCCCTGTCACCTCAGATGACTCCTGCCTCCACAAGCTCTCTGCCAGATCAACTGACCTGCCTTCGAAGGTGAACTCCACCGGAGGAGAGGAAGTTCTGCAACCCAAATGCTGGGCAAGAGGTCTCAGCATGCTGCCGGCAGAGATGGGATGGTGGGGAAAGGGGTTTCCCATTCCATTTCCGTCCCGACCCATGGCTGATCATCCAACTTGACCAATTTCCCAATTGTGCTCATTGGCACAAGAGAGGGGAGTTTTTTTTAAAGAGACATAGGATTGTTAGTGTGGAGAAAACTAGGAGTTTCATTTATTCCACAAAGGCACTTAGCGTGTAGCGCCTGGGAGCTGTGGTATTCCCATTGCTGGAAGTGATTGGGTGATAGGCAGGAACAGAAAGCTACATGCCCACCCCTCCCCCAGCGCCATTGTTGAATCTAGAAACAAGGTTGAAAGGGCTGCTAACTGCATCAAAGGTCCAGGATTTGAATTTAGTGCCTCCTAGGGGCTTGTGACCCTGGTCAGGCAGTTTGATCTCTCTGAGTCTCAATTTCCCTGTTGTAAGATGGAGGTAATGCTAGATAATAATGAGGGAACACACTTGGAACACTAGCAGCTGAACACAGCAGGGCACTTGCTTCGTTCAACAAACGTCCAAGGCCTACTGTGTGCCAGGATCTCTATGCTAGGGACTAGGGGAACGTTCATACAGAAGACAAATGCGGTCTCTGCCCTCACATTGCCTACAGGAGGGGAAGATCGCAGACACTGAATGAGAGGGACAGTGCGGATAATGGTTAAGGCAACCAGGTTGTAAGTCCTACCAGCTGCTCTACCATTCTTGACCCTGGGTGAGCTCAATTCTTTGTGCCTTAATTTCCCAGGAGTAAAATGAGTTCTAAGCCCACTTCAGACGGTGGTAAGGATTTCATGAATTGACATATGGAAAAATACTGACAGCACCTACTGGCAGAACACACACACAATCAGGGTAATAAAAGGAGCCTCAGAATGTTTAACAGGACAAGAGACGATGTCGAGGCTGAGCTTGCCCAGCAATTGGGGTGGGTGTATTCCTGAGGAGGGACATCCCAAGCAAAGAGCAGGGTGTGCTGGAGATTCGGAACAAGGGTGAGGAGTGCCGACAGAGGTATGAAGTGGAGCAGCAGGCCAGTTTAAGGAGCTGGGTCAGTGGGAGTTCCTGTCACCAGTTTTAAGCATCAGGCTTACAGTTTTAGAGTGTTCATTCTCCTTTGCATATGTGGAAATATGGCACACATTTGTCCTGTTCATTAATGCACCCCCAGCCCCTGGCTCCGAGGTTAGGGTAATTCCGTGTCCCCCTCACTCCCTCTGGTTTCCAGGCCCACCACCTTCCAGGTTACTTACAGCCTTTGCATTTGCTGGCTCTCTTCAAGGAGCGAAGCAGTAGGAGGCTTAGGCAGGACTGATGTTAAGAGCCAAGCCTTCAGTCTTCCCACCCACACAGCCCCTTTGTGACCCTGTGAATCAGCTGCGCCTGAGTTTGAACTCCCGCAAGTAATTGCTCCTGTTGAGAACATTCAACCTTAAGTGCAGCGATTCAGTATTGCACCGTTCACAATGTGTTCTTAGCAAATTAAGTTTCACCTCTGTCCTATCTGAACATAATTTCTCCTTCACACCATCAGGCCGGGACGGCCGAAGAGGGGCCGTGGGTGGCTAGGAACGGACTCAGAAGCAGAGGAGAAAGTGGGTTTCTTACTTATAACACTGCTTGCAAAGAGACAAACAGTTCCTTCTCCGACTCTGTTGACAGTGTTGTGGAGCGAAGTGTCCCTTTCTCGGCAATCCCCTGTAACCTGAAACGGGGGGAAGGGTCCCAAGGGGTAGGGCGCTGTGGCAGCGCTTGGAGGGTTGACGGCACCTAGCTACGCGCACGGGGGAGAGAAACGGCTTTGCCTGCGCCGCTTCAGCCGGCACCTACCAACGGGCTTAGGAGCAAGAATCGAATGAGGGCTGGAGGTGGTGATCTCTGCAGCTCTCAGGGATCAGAGCCCAGAAGGTAGCGGCTGAGGAAGTCCCCGGCCTTGGCACTTCTAGGAGTGTGGGCGGGACGCACGTTGAGGCCGCTACACGCTGTAACGAGGCCCCCCCACCCACGCTCCTCTGGAGAGATGCGCTCCTCTCCGCCATGCGCCCAATCCCACCCTCGCTGGCGCTCTGGGAGCCTCCAGGACAGCCAGAAGGCGTGGCCCAAGGCGGCCCGCCCCTTTGATGTACACCGGCGTCGCTGTGATTGGACAGTCGCTTGTGACGTGCGGGGACTGCGGTGGGCCCGGGTGCTGCGGCAGCCGCAGCACCAGCCGCGGCTTGGGCTCCGGCTGCCGGGCATTTAAAGGGGACGCGGCGGCGGCCGGGGGGGTGGGGGGCAGGTGGAGGGGACGGCCGAGACGCACACCATCCACGGCCCCTCGGGACTGGAGGGACTCGTGAGCCGGAGCCCAGATATCCGGGGGTGGATAAAAGACACCGCGTCCCCTCCCAATTCCCGTAAGCACCCTTTGCCCCATCCTGCTCTCAAATACCTCAGCTAGCCCCTCTCCCCACACTTCACACTCCAAACTCGGCCGGGACAGACTTGTGCCGCTGCCGCTCCTCTCGTGAGTCCTGGGCTCCCCGAGGTAGGGGAGGGTTGGGGTCCCGGTGTGGGGTGGGGCTGTGGGAGTTTTGAGGGTGCTCCTTAATCGTGCCAGTTGGGGAATCCCTGGAGTGGAAGAATGAGTCTTCTTTCTCCTAGCCCAGAAACGTGGTGCCCGGTACCCTCCGACCCCGACTCGGCAACGCGAAGGAATCCGTGCCCCCTTACTCCCCGTTACCCACGAGTCCCCTGGGTTCCCCAAGCTGCACACCCCCCGCCCCGCATTAGAGCGGAGCTCCGCCAACTGGGGGTGTGCCAGAGTGCCTGCTTTCAAGCCACCTCTAAAAATATCTTTTCCCCCAACTCCGCCCGCAGCTGCCACCTCCCTGCCCAGTGTGGATCCCGTCTCAGCTTGTTCACCCCGGCAGGGTGAGCCTAGAGGTGACTCCTGGTCCCAGCTTCCTCACTGGTCATCGCCCCCAGCCAGCCAGGATAGCAAGCTCACAGTTGAAGGCGGTCTCCAGGGTAATTAGGGAAGCTCTGGCTGCAGTGTTCCCAAGAGGCACCAGACACCCCTGGGTTCCAACCCTGATTCTGATGCTGTGTTAACCCCAGGATGTTAGCTTGACCTCTCTGGGCCTCTGTTTTTCCTATTTGCTGTTGACAGTGGTGAGCAAGGAAGAGACTCTGGTGAAGTTGGGAGTGCTGTCTGGGGGAGGGGGAGAACCAGCTTAGAGGCAGAGTCTGATTTCTAGTGATTGATACAAGGCGACCTGGCCCTGGACAGAGAGCTTGTTGCTGTTGAGACAGCTACACGCTGTCTCTGGGGTCCTCACTGCCTTCCATCCTTATACTGTACATTTTCTGTAGAAAGTTGTCCTGTGGGCTCCATCTATCCATTATGGGGAGAATTTCAAACTTAGGGCCTGCCAAAGACCCTCCTCCCTAATTCCCAGGGGACCCTCCCACCTCATTCCCACAGATGTCATTTAAGCATCTGTGTAAAAGGTAGGAGGAAGCAGGGAGGAAGTGGTGATCCCAGGGAGGAATCGGGAAGCAGGCACCGCTTTTCCATGGCACTATAAATGGACTCCCTGTCACTCTAAAGAAACCATTCTCTATCCTCTGCTCTAGCCTGCAGAAGCTGGGCTCCTGTCCCCCTTTTTTCTGAGGCACAGTTTTGGTGACCACAGAAGGATTTAACTACTTAGGACAGAGCTGCCAGAGGTGAGTAACCTTTTTTAAAGTCATGGCACAAAGCTTCCAATGGGGCCCAGGGTCCTTCTGACTACAGTGGGTTAGGGGTGGGGTATCATTGTACAGCCTTGTCTGTCTCCAGGGGAAGAAACCGGCTTTGGAGACTTAAAAGAAATAAGGGTAACTTAACAGACAATAAATGTTTAACCAATGTCATTTAATACTATTATTAGATGAAAAGAATGCAACTGTGCCTTTTGCTATGAGAAATGAGAAGTTCTGAGCATGATGAAAAATCAGTGGAATATTCCACCAAATTTTTAAAAAAAGAAGAAAAAGAAACAAAAGCAAAATAAGGAGCCCATTTTCTGTGGGATGACAGTTGGTCTCTGGGTGGATGCCGGAGACCCTTGTTTCTCCACGTACACAGAACGTGTCTGTCCGTGTTTGCTTTTACAGTGGAGGTGGCATCCCCTGATCTTTCTCTTCAGACTCATCTGGCCTCAGCGCAGACATGTGATAACAGGCAGGATTTTGGAAGGCTGGAACTCCCTCCAGATAGGGCCTGGGGACAGCCCTCTCACCCTCCAAAGCATACCACTCCCTCATCCTCTGTTTCCCTCCCCTTCTCTCCCATCTCCCTGAACTGTGTCGCCTCTCCCAACCCTTTCCCTCTCTTTGCCCATTGCCCAGTTCAGCTTCTGCACTTGTCCGAACTCCTAGATTTAACGTTCTTAGGGAAAGGCTGAGACCCGCATTCATCCCTACTGAAAGGGTTTAGTGAAGGTGTGCTCAGAGAGTGGGAGGGATAGAGTACCTGAAGATGGAGAGTGATAAAGCCCCTCCCTCCCACCTGTGCCCTGCCCCTGGGATGTCCCAGTCTCTGTCTTGGGAACAATAGTTTCTCCAGTCTGTGGTGGGATGGTCTGGGGAAAGTGTCACCTTGACAAAATCAGAGGGGTTTCCAGTGTCACCCACTGTCACCACCAGAGGGCAGCAGCTAGCCAGACCTTTGCTCCTTCCCAGTCTAGTCTCCTGGCTCTTAATCTTTCCAGATGGGTCTTCTATGCCTCCAGTCTCTCATTTAACTTGAGGGTGGGGGAGTTGGGTGGGGCATGGGGAAGCACTGGGGGCTGTAGGTAGTTTCCTTTGTAACTGGGCTGGTGTAGCCCCCACAAAGCCAAACCCTGTCTCCAAAGCCAGGCAGCAAAGTCCAGCAGAAATTTCAACCTGACTCCTAGCTGCCAGTCACTGAAAGCACCAGGAAGCCAGTCCCAGATCATCCGTGTGCCCAGTGGTCCCAGCACCCCAGCTGTGACACAGTGAACTTGGTCATCAGCCCCTTCCCTTTTGAGGGCAGAGGGCAGGCAAGGCTGTGAGCAAATGTTCATGAACCAGGCTCTGCCCCATGGAAGCAGTCTGGCCTTGGGCAAGTTATGTAACCTCTCTGAGCCCTTCTCAGGTGCTGAATTCATGGGACTGTGATGAGCAGTGAGAGTATGAAGGAAGGGAATTTGTCAACTATGACATACTATATGCAAGAAAAGAGCAGTTGATCATAGTAGAGAAAAAAAATCAATGGTCTCAAGACTCTGAGATCTGGTTTTGAGATCTGTCTCTGCCACTTCCAGTGGATGACCTTTGAGCAAGTCAGCTAACCTCTCTGGGGCTGCAATAATATCATCTGTAATCTCCAGCATTGTACAGGATTGTTAAGAGGAAGCCTAGCAAGGGCTTTGTGGTCTATGCCCATCTGAGGAGTTGTTTTTACTAAGCCCCTGGGAGAGGTTCCTGGGGCTCAGCAGAGTGGATTGAACCAGGTGGGCATTAGTGGTGGAAACAAAGCCAGCTGGCTGGGCACCCTCAGACAGACCTTGTGTGGTTTTATCAGGAGCTCTGGACAACGGTTGGAGGCCAAAAGAGTCCCTACAGGTGGTGCCCAGGGTGATGTACCAACAATGAGTGGGTGTTTTCCAGTTGCTGGCCTCCGATGCCTGTCTAGGGTAAGTGCGTCCCTCCAGGGATCTCTTACCATGAAGCCTCAGCCCCCACATTCCTATCATGGGGTGGGAGGAGCCCTAGCTAGCCCCTTTCAGGCTTGCTCCCTCCTCTACTGGATCTCCACTAATCCCTGGAAGCTTCCAACCCTATTATGGGGTCCTGATGCTTCATGTCCTCTACTCCAGGGATACTGGGCCACTGAGATACCCAGATGGATATTAGTGAGACCATAGTGACTCTAGGGATGTCAAAGAGGTCTCTTAGGGAGGTAGATAGCCATGTTCAAATCCCAGCTCTGACATTTGGAGCTTGGACTTCTATTTCACAAGGTGTGGCAGGCCATAAACACCACAGGGATGCCAGAGAAGGATTTAGGTAGAAACCAGAAAGAGGAGTGGTTCTGCCTCAGCTAACTGGGGTGGGAGGCCGAGCCGGAGAGAGGCCGTGTACTGGATATTCTGCAGCTACTTGATCTGCTCACACACATGCTAGCAGGCAAAGTTGCAGAGGGCCTCTGCTATTGCCATTTTGTTGCTTTTCTTTGTGCCCTCATTCTTGCCCTGTTAAACCCCATGCTCTCCCATGTCCCCTGTCAGCATAATTAGCCCAAATTCGCACTTCCTGGAACTCCCCACCCCTGCTCTCTTTCTGTCCGGTCTGTCTCCCATCCCAGCTCCTGGAGCATGACTCCCTCCAGCCCTCCTTGCCCACCGCTGCCTCCTTATCCCCACCATGTTCCCTCTTCCTCTGGTCTCTTCCCTTACCTGTCTCCCAGGTATGTCGTGGCCTGGTGCATGTGGCTACCACCTCCCCAAGGCCCCCTGCTGTTCCTGCTGCCTGCTTGCTTCGGACTCTGGCAAAAACCCCACCTCCTGATGTGTTCCTCCTGGGGAGATGGCAAGTGATTAGTGATGAGCTGTCAGCATAGAGCCCTAAAACTCCCAGGAGAAGCTGGGTCCTCACCCTGGACCCCTGCTGAGGGCCATCTAGCTGGAGGCAGTTCCCAGAACTTTGCTAGGTCTTGTGCGGTCCATCGACCTACCTGGTTATTCCAAGATCTAAAATCCAGTTCTCTGGCCAGTACATCTAACTCTCCAGGCCTGGCACTCAGGTCCTCTCCAGGCCAAAGGACCTGGTGCGCATTGTGCACATGCCTTGGAAGAAGCCAACAAGTCTTCCCTGGAGCCTGGCTCCATATTACCCTCCACAGTCCCACTGGTTGGGTGTGGCCCAAAAGGGGAATGAGGAGGCTGCTTACCCACTCCAGTTGGGTGAATGGGTAGCTTCCCTTGACTGTTTGTCAGGAAAGAAGGGAGTGAGAGGCCCTTCCATACACACACCGACAGGAGCCACTGGAAGTTTTCAGGTCTAGTCCAGAAACCTCTCCAAATGGGTGGCCACTTAGAAGCTGTTCTTTCCCTCTTTTAAGCTGACCCTTGTCAAGCCCCGATGGCCCTGGATTAAATTAGCAGAAACAGGTGCCAAGGAAGTCCTTCACTGGGTTCAGGAGGAGGATGGTCCTCCAAGGATAAACCCCAGCCCAGTTTACTGGAGGTGCCCAGGGGGTGGCAGGGGAGGCTGGGAGTGGGGGCGGCGGCTTTGGGTACCCGGCCCAGCTTAACCAGCGTTGGGTCCTCCTCAGGTCTCGGATGTGCCAGCGCCTCTGGCAGGGGCCCGCTAACCTGCCTCTCCCCGGCCGGCTCCCGCCGCGCCTCCTCTCGCTTGCTCCCTCCTCCTCCTGCTCCTCTCCCCCCTGCTCCCAGGACGGTAGGATGGCTGCGCAGGGCGCGCCGCGCTTTCTCCTGACCTTCGACTTTGACGAGACTATCGTGGACGAAAACAGCGACGACTCGATCGTGCGTGCGGCGCCGGGCCAGCGGCTGCCCGAGAGCCTGCGCGCCACCTACCGCGAAGGCTTTTACAACGAGTACATGCAGCGCGTCTTCCAGTACCTGGGCGAGCAGGGCGTGCGGCCGCGGGACCTGCGCGCAATCTATGAGGCTATCCCACTGTCGCCTGGCATGGGCGATCTGCTGCAGTTTGTGGCCAAGCAGGGTGACTGTTTCGAGGTCATTCTCATCTCGGATGCCAACACCTTTGGCGTGGAGAGCGCGCTGCGCGCTGCCGGCCACCAGGGCCTGTTTCGCCGCATCCTCAGCAACCCGTCGGGGCCTGACGCGCGTGGGCTGCTGGCGCTGCGGCCCTTCCATACGCACAGCTGCGCACGCTGCCCTGCCAACATGTGTAAGCACAAGGCGCTCAGCGACTACCTGCGTGAGCGGGCCCATGAGGGCGTGCACTTCGAGCGCCTTTTCTATGTGGGCGACGGCGCCAACGACTTCTGCCCCATGGGGCTGCTGGCGGGCGGCGACGTGGCCTTCCCGCGTCGCGGCTATCCCATGCACCGCCTTATACAGGAGGCGCAGAAGGCCGAGCCCAGCTCCTTCCACGCCAGCGTGGTGCCCTGGGAAACCGCCACCGAAGTGCGCCTGCATCTCCAACAGGTGCTGAAGACCTGCTGAGAACGGCTGTGTGCAGAGGGCGCCCGGGAGCCCGAGTGGAGAAGGGGCGAGGGCTGCGGCGGGCGGGACGAGGGGTGAAGGTAGATGGGAAAGACAAACCTAGTTTTATTACTCCTTTCCCTTTAACTCTGGTATGTCCCTCCGGGAATTTCTAGAGTTTAGGGCTTGTCCACTGGAGGTTGGGGGAGGGAGTCCTTATCTATGCAGTTAACTCAGCTCTGCTGCCTCCTCACATTCCCCTGCAGTTAAATTCTGAGTCCGGCCCCACTAATATGCTGTGCATACCTGGGAAGGTAGCAGTGTTTCCAGAAACCTTGTCCTCTGAACTGGGAGGAAGGGGTTCCCTGGCAAGGGAGGAAAGGAAGATCTCCCACTGCTTTAACTGCTGCCTTGGGCCGCGTAACCTCCCTGCCCCAGTCTTCTGTCAAGGGGACCCAGGTCCTGAAGTCCTCCCCACGTGCGCCGTCTCTCGGCAGGGAGAGATGACGCTCTCCACCGACAGCTCCGAACCTAGTTCTACAGCAAGCTACACCCTACACCCCTTTTCTTGCCTGTCTTTCCCCACCCACTTCGCCATCAACCCCAGAGGAAAAAAAGCCAGAGGGAGCAGTTGCCTCCTAGTGGTGGAATGAGGTAGCACCGGTCCTGCTCGGGGACTAGCCAGGGACCTCGCAGCATGCGACGGTGTCTACTCTCACCCCAGCCTCGTCTATGCAGCAAAAGATCAGGGACTTAACCAAAGTCGCCCCGCGGTCTGGGCTCTCTGCACTCCCTCCCTCATGTCTGGAACAGAAAGCCATGATGTTGAAGCCCTCCCTCCCTCCTTGGTGTTTCAGAGCTTATAAAGGAGGTGAAGGGGGAAGAGGTGACTGAGGTCTCTCGCGCCGCAGCCTGAGGAGTGAGGTGATCTCTGCCCTCAGAGAGCCCTACTTCAGTGAGGGAGTTGGTCCCCATCTTGGAGGAATGCCCAGCTTGAGGAACCAAAACTAAACAGGTAATACAGTGACCAACAAGTGAAAGCAAGGTGCAGTCAGTTGTAAGGGGCATTAGGGGTCTAGTGCAGAGAACATCTAAGGAGGACCAAAAAGTTGGGCGAGAGATTGCTGCTAGGAGCAGGCAGAGTGGTACTCAATTAGCAGGAGCCTTAGCGCTGGCATGCCTTTCAGTCCTCCTTCTCTGGCCCTCTAGCCCTGCAGGCCAATCTTCAGGAGGTCAGAGTTTTATTCAAAGTTGGCATTTGCAGCTGGAGCCCCCATCCTGCATGGAGTAGGGGTCGTCCTTGGTCAAAATCATCAAACTCCTTGGCTTCCAGTTCTTTGCTGTCTTTAGCAGGATTCCGTGTACCTCCTCTCCAGGACCCCCTCCCACTGCAGTGAGAGGAAGGGGCAGACACAGCTCCCAGTCCAACAGGCAGGCAGGCTTAGTCCAGCTTGGTGGAGCTGGCCTTGGCCTGGGGCTCAAGAGGCTCACTCCAGGCAGTGCCTGGGTCAGCAGCTGGGCTCCACATAGTTCCCTGGGAAGAATCCAGTCCCCTCGGAGCTGACACCCTCACACCAGCCATCGGAGTAGCGGCGGGTGATACAGATGATGGTACCCTCAGAGAAAGAGAGCTCGTTGTCCTTCTGGCGGGTGTATGGGTACAGTGTCACCACTGCAGGAGGAGAAGACAGTGCCAGGGAGATAAGCCTCCTGCCCCAACTGTGGGGGTTCCCGGGGCCCACATTCTGGATTCAAGGGAGCATCTAGGGGAGAAGGCTGCAGGGAATAGAGCAGGGAGTGCCTTATCCAAAGCCCTTGGGGACCCTTCCCCAGCTTAGTTAACATTTAATGCCAGGCCAGCTGCCTCTCTTCCTGTTTGGCTTTGATACCACTCCTGAGTAGGTATTTGCTCAGTTCATCAGAAAATGCATGTGGGGAGTGAACAGCCAGCAGGCTCACACCTCTGGAGGAAGGGGAGAATGGCTCTGGGGTTGAAGGGTTGGGGGAACCTTGGTCCTGGGATCTGGTGCCCTTAAGTCCGGGGAAGCAGATACCTTTCTCTAAGTATGCAGGGGGCACCCAGCTGGGCTCCTCTGGCCCAAAGCCTGGTGGGGGCAGAGGTGGCAGCTCCAATTCATCTGCATCCAGGGTTGGAGGAGGTGGCAGGTCCAGGGGTGGGGGCAGCTCTGGGGTGGGAGGGAAAGCAGAAAGGCTGCAAGTGTGGCACAGGGAACCCCCTCCAGTTTCCCCTGGGAACTTAAGGGATCAAGAGCAGGGCACCAGGACCCGCCCATTGTATGTCACCTTCCCCCAGCCCTCCCCCATCCTGATCTTTCCATAATGCCTCTAAAGCTCAGTAGGTGCTCAGCAAACACGAAACCGTTGAAAAGAGCAGGGTAGGCTGACTACCACTTAGCTGAGTGACTCTCGGGCAAGTCATTTAATGTGACCGCTCAGCCTCAGCTTCATCTGTTAAATGAGAGTAGGAATATTCTCAGGGTGGTTACCGGTGAGAAAGTGGACTAGGAGCTTCGAACACGGGGCCTGGTCCTCCTCTACCTACTTTCTCTCCTGTTACTTGCCAACTTGGACCAAGCCTTCAGCTGAGACTGGCCTGTTAGATCCAACAGGGGTGGGCTGGGTTGAAGGTGAGAAAGAGACCCCGCAGGGGAGCTAGGAGAGGGCGGAGCTCCTTACCCGGCAGGGGCGGGGCCAGGTCCTCCAGCGCAGGGGGCAGCCGGAAGGCGTCAGTGGCTGGTGGAGCAGGTGGCGCCAGGGAGCTGGGGAGGGGTGGAGCTGGGTGTGCAGCTTGCCCCTTGGTCTGCGAGACCCCGCCGACACCGTCTGCGCTGCTAAAGACCAGAGAAAAGTGGCGCTCAGCTAGTTTCGGGGTGCACCTTCCCTAACAGCGTCCTTCAGCAGGTGCCGCAGTTATCCCCAGTCCTAAACCCCAGCAGTCACGTGACAGCTGGCAGGAGCGTTCCCCACTACCACCACCAGCTCCCCTTATGGCTGGTCCCCACTTCGACTTGGGCTCACCCGGCCGAGGCCAGGGAAGAGGCAGACGAGGCGGCGGAGAGTTTGCCGTCGGGCACGACGGGGAGCTGCACCGGCTCGGGGATGCGAGGCGGTCTCCTAGGGGTGGAGGGGAGGATGCCGTCAGGAGGGAGGAAGGCTTCGGCGGGGTCGGTGCGGGGAGGAGGGGGACGGCCGGCGGAGGAGGAAGTGTGGCGCCCAGCTTGGAGGTGAGGGTGGATGAGTAGAGTTTCAGGATGGCGTAGGGCTGCTTTGGGTCTGAGCAAGGCCTCACCCCAGGGTGGCGGAGGCAGGTGGGGCAGGCGCCTTGATGCTCTTTCGAGACAGGGTCCCGGTGCGCGACAGCTGCGTGCTGAGATCCTGCGGGGGTAGGGGGACAGAGGGCAGGGGCTGGCATTTATGGGGGCCCTGCAAAAACCCCCGTCATCCCAGAGAGGAAATGGGTGAGGGAAGGCCGAGAACTGGGAGGGAGGGCGCAGGCACAGCAAGTTCCCACTTCCACTTCCCACTCCCACCCCACCCCCACCCCATCCCCTCCTGCACACTGCCTGGGCGGCAAGTTGGCCGCAAGCCCCACAGAAACCTGTGACCATAGAGGCGGTCTGAGGGCCACTTCCTCTGCATGGCCCACCATCCCCACCCTTCTCCCAAAGCATCTCAGCATCCAGCTTGGTGGGCCTTAACTCTGAAAGGCCCCAAATCCAGCACAGGACTGAGAAGGTGGTAGGGAAAGGAGAGGACCATCACGTTTGGAAATACCCACCTGTCATTTTTATAGGCCTGTGGAAATGGCTTTGGGGAGCCCAGGGCAGAGAAAAGCAGAACATTTAGAAGAGAGCGTACCAATGGCAAGGTGCAAAACCACACACAAGAGAGCACCTCTGTTACTGAGTCTCCCCAAGAGTGGGGGCATGGGGAGTGATGTCCTCTGCTCCACCGGGCACAAGGCAAAAGGCACTTGAGCTGAAGCATAGAGAACTGAAGTTGGACAATAGGAAGAACTTACTGGGGTGGAAGCCTGGGAAGGCCTCCTCCCTGAAGGAGGGAGTATAGTTTCCTCCTTTTTTGGAGATGTATGTTAAGGATCTCAAGGGGTCATTTAGATACAGGGGAACTTTAATCTGGAATGTTGGAGTGTGGGGACAGGACTTTGACAAAATGGGATGGGAGTGTGTGTCTGTTCCCACCTCTCAGAATGAGATAGAGAAGAAAATACCAGCCTTATGCTCCTGTCTTCATCATGTCCCTTTTGAGTGGCTGCATCCCTTCCCTCCCCACCCAACAGCATCTCTGGGGTGACTGCTCAGTGCAGTGACCTCAAACCTCCAGACAGAGGAAGTTGCTGTTCTCATGTGGCTGGGAGCCGTTCTCATGCTCACCCTGACACCCTCCTACCCCCCTCTTCCCCTTCACACGCTCACCCAGCACCAGCAGAATGGGGGTGGGGTGGCTCAGCAGATCATCTCAGTACAGGGTAAAGGACAGGGATAGAGGGGTCATGTACCACTTCCAAGGAGGCAGAGGGGGGCTTCTCTAAGGAGGATGTGGGGCTAGGGGGCCACCTAGGGTGATGGCTTCAGGGAGTGAGGAAAGACGGGTTGAGGGTTGGGACAAAAACATGGATGTGGAAGAGAACTGGGGGCCTAGAAAGATGGGAACCAAGGCAGAAGGGGGTGGTTCATGGAGAATGAAGAGGGGCCCCCTCTCTCTACCTTGATCCCATGGCCAATGTCATCCAGGCAACAGAAGTTGAGGGGTCTCCGGTAGTAGGGTGTGAGGGGAGGTAGGCTCTCCGGGGCAATGACTTTCTGGCCCGGGGGCAGCCGCTGGACGGTGGCCAAGGTTCCGATCTCCCTTCGGGCCACCTTCTCCATGTGCATGTTCACCATCTGCATGACAGGATTGGAAGTGACAGCAGGTGGCTTCTGTACAGCACCCTTCCCCTGAAGGAATGAAGAGGATGGAGACTTTGGGGAAGGGATTAGGGACCGTGGGAGGCAGTGAGATCCAGAGACAGAATGAGTTTTGTCCCTGAGGCCACATGGCATTTAGGAAAAGAATTGCCAGGGGAGGATGGAACCACTTTTCAGCAACTTCCTGGTAGAAGAGAATGAGGGTTATTATTAGCCAAACAGAAACCAGAGGAAAAGAGAAAACACAGCATCCCAGGGGATGCCGGGAAGAGACAAGCACTGGGCTGGCTCAGAACGGGCTAATGTGGAGGTGGCTGGATGAGCTTTTGGGAGACAAGTCAGTGAATTAATTGTTCTTGGAATGTTCTGTGCAGAAACCTACAATGAGAGGCTGGGAACTCAGGTCTGCTGGCGAGAGGAAAAGCCACCCCCCCATGCTGAGCAGGCAGTGATGCACAGGCTGGGCCAACGTGTAGTCGGGCCTATGCGTGTGGTTGATGGGGCGATTCCTCGGCCAAGGATCCAGGAAGGAAGAAGGAGGGTGTGGGTGCTAGATGGGCGGGGGGTACTGGATGGCCGCTGTGATACTGCCAGGGCTGAAGATGACCTTGCCGAGCAAGCACTCTGGGTCTAGGACATTTATGAAGTCATTGCCTGTGGTTAGATGGAAGCTGGAACCACTGGCCTCTTTCTTGAACTGTACAGTGATTGGTAGAGACTGCTTTTCTGCCGGACAGGGCAGGATTCAGAGACAGGAGTTCTGCCTTCAGGGAATTTTACTCTGATGGAGTGGCGAGGCCTAGCACTGAGACACAGCCACAGAGAAAAGGGTGCTCCAATGCTGGGAAAGTGCCAAGCATCTGTGAAGGAGCCAGGCATTTGGAGGTTGGCAGGAAAGACTAGTTTTGATGGAAAAAGTGTTCAAGTGGGGCAAAGAGTTGGAAGCTGATGCAAGAGGCTTTCCCACACTGCTTACCTGCCCCACAGTGCTCACACGGGCTTCCACCTGCCGCAGGGCAGCTGCCTGCAGGTCCAACATACGCAGTGTGTGCCCGGCCAGGTTGCCTACCTGGTAGGCCACACTGGCCAGTGCCTGAGTGGTAAAGGCCATTGTCTCCTCTAGCGCCTTCCGCTTGTCTGTGGCCTGAAAAACACAGCCCTGGTCTGAGGCCTGCACCTTGCACTGGATCCTCGGCTGGGCAGGCAGGATGGGAGAGGGAATAGGGAAGGTAGGGACTGAATAGGGAGCAAGCAGAAACCCTTAGATGTTTGAGGTGGTTTCCATAAGAATAATGTAGTATGACAGACTCTGGACTTTAAGAAAGCAAATTTGCAGCCCTGGGGAATGGGTAGGAGAGGGAAAGAAACCACTCCTCAAATAGACAAGACCCTACTACCCTCCTGAGGACCTTGGGTGTAAAGGGTGAAGAATAGAAGACAAGTGGAAGGAAGGACTTGCTGGAGAAGATATTTTCAAACTAAAAAAACCAACCAACCAATGTGAGGTCCCCATTCCATTGTCTAACCACGATATCCGGGGAGTGAGGCTGACAGATCTGTGCCTTTAAAAGCTCCCTGGGTGACTTTTGTGCTCCTTGTTTAGCTCTAGTGCACATGTTGGTGCTTCAGAACCAATGATCTGGTCCATTTTAAGGGAACTGAGGCCTGAAGGAGAGTGCCTTCATTCGTTCATTCCCTCCAGGAGCTTCCCAATACACTGAGAATAAAATCCAAACTTCTAACCATGGCCTAGATCGGACCGCACAGGACTGGATCCTGCTCTCCTCTTCACCCTCACTCCCTACCACTACCCCTACCACATTGGCTATTGGGTTTCTGTTCCTGATCAAGCTAAGATTGTTTCTACCTCAGGGCCTTTGCATTTGCTGTACTTCTTTCTAGAATCCTTCTTATTATATGCTCCTCAGAGATACCTTCCTCCTTACCATCCTAAGATTTCCTTCAGCCCACTTCTGTACTGATTCTATCATATTTACACTGCCCTCTTTTCTTCATAGCACTTAACACAACCAAGTTATCTAAATTACTTTATTATCTATTCCTCCCCACCCAACACACACACATAAAAATATAAGCAGTGGGAGGGCAGGGAACTTGTCTGTTTTATTCTGTATCCTATCCTGGAATAGTGCCCAACACACAGATGATGCTTAATAAATGTAGATTTGTGAGTTAACTAACAGACTGAATGCAAACCCAAACACTTGCTGGGCATCTTCCTACTGCATGCCAGGCACAGTGCCAGGTGCTGACCTCAGTGGTGGAGGGGTGGGCAGGGAGTGGCTGAAGACAGAAGAGATTTGTTTTCAGTCCCAGACAACACCATGGGTGCTGGGGTAAAACTCCTCTGGCCATTTGGTTCCCCATGCAGCTTCCTCATCTCACGGAGTTCTGCACTCTAGGCTCCAAGGGGCAGGGGTGAGTCCAGGGCAAGTCTGGGCAAATGTGCTGCCACGCGAGGCTGCACCATGAGGTCTCCTTGCCAAGGACCTTTGGGTGCTCCTAGAGCATGTCACTGGAGACGCAGAACCTATCAGAACAGGGTGCTGAGAGAGACCTGGGTGCCTCCGATGTAGCCTGAGCCAGGCCAGAGTCAAAGAGCAGGCCCAGAACCTTCCGGGCAGCCCTTCCTATGGTCTTGTCAAATAAAGACAATACTTGCCTCACAAGCCCTCCCTGCCTTTCTATTCTCACAGTGGAAAAGAGGTGCTTATATGCATATGATTTACATCTCATCGGCATATATAACCAACAGCCTTGAAAAGGCACAGAAATCAACCCAGATGTTAACCAGAAAGGATGGCAGGTCTTGTTCTAATTTAAGACCTCCCTTTAATAGGTGAGGAAACAAAGGCTCAGAATGAGGCAGTGCCTACTCGTTTGGTCTTCAGCCAGATTTCTCAGCTCACCTCTCCTGTACTGTCTCCTCCCTGGACTGGCATGTGGAATTGTCAGCCCAAACAGGAAAAATGTCTGCTTGGGTCCAACTCTGGGAAGCTAGAACCTGGAAACCTCTTGACCCCTGGCTTTGGTCTTGACCCAAAATTAGGTCTAGAGGGACAGGGTCTGGGATCCAACATCATGGCTGACTGTCTGTGCATCATGCAAATTACCCTGTCTGTAAACTCAGTGGACCCTGACGGAGAATGCTGCAGGTGACCCCAGCCTGCCCTCCCCCATTCCCCACGGGTTTCTTGACACCTGGTTGGGGTGGAGAGAGACAGGTGGGGGCGTGACAGAGGGCATGGGAACCAGGCCTTGTTTAAGAGCAGTTCTGAGAGTCATCCAAATCCTTCCTAAGCATTTGTTCCCCAGAGATATTCAGAGGCCAGGAAGGGTAACTGGTTGTCTGGTCAAGTAGTTAGTGTTCTGCATGAAGGAAGCAGGAGCCCAGGGCTTCTCATCTGGGTGAGAGCTTCCAACACCCTGGGTGTTTTTGCAAAGACAGCTTCACCTCACTAGAATCTTATTTCCTATTCATGCCTTTCATTCTTCTGATGAATGATGATAATAATAATAACAGTAATAACAATGGTAATAGCTGCCATTTTTCCTGCTTTTCTTTAGGGGCAGGTATTGGGCTAAAGGCTTCAACACATTTCCCACTTAACCCATGTGACTGCCTTCAGGGAAGGAAGGTAGAAGAATCAGAGGAGAAATGCTCCAGGTCCTGTAGTTGACTATAGTGGAGTTGGAAATTGGACTCAGGTCTTTGTAGACCCAAATCCTGTGTGCAAACTGGGTGCAAATGAGAACTCATCTGGAAGTGCTTCGGGATGTGCAGAAGTACTGAAGGACCAGGAGGAAGTGTTTCCATCCCTGTGGATAGGAGCATGCTTCCAGAGCTTTGGGAACCGAGCTGGTTTCCAAGCCACATCCCAGCTCATCTACAAGTCATTCAACATCTGCACAGACAGAAATTATACTGGGGGCAGCATTTTCCATCGGAAGTTTGAGGATGGGCTTTGGAGTCAGTTACGGGTTTGAATCCAGATTTGTCACTAGTTCGGAGACCTTGGAAAAGTAAAGGAACCTTTCCAAATCTCAGTCTCCCAATTGTGAAGTGGGAGTGTTCCCACCTCACAGGACTAGAGTGAGGAATAAAAGAGGCGATGTGGCAACCTGCCTGTCCAAAGTGAGGGTGCAGATAACTGTTATTATCATGGACTCTTTAATTTTCCCATAAGCACTTGCTCCTTGTGTTATTATTATTTTCAACACTCCTACTGAGCTGGGAGGTCCCTGCACCTCCCAGTGCAAATAAACTGTCTTAAAGTCATACAGCCAGTCAAGAAAGGGAAAGGTGGGAGGGCAAGAGCCTGGATTCAGAAGCCAGAGGACCTGGGCTAATGCCCAGCTCTACTGGGCCCAACCTGTGTGACCTTGGACAAGTCACCTCACCTCCCTCCACTATTTTCTTCATCTATGAAATAAGAATAATAACAGTACTTGTCTCACAAGGTGGTTATGAAAACTAATGAAATAACCGAAGTGCTCACACATTGTTAAGTTTCCCTCCCCCCTCATCCCTTGATCCAGGAATCTACATTCATAGTCCTGGGACAACCACGGAATTTAGAAAATGGGTCTAAAATGCCACTTTTGGGGGTAGCCTGCTCCCAGCAGTCATGTCGTCCATCTCCTGCCTCTGCGTCAGACCCTGTCTCTTTAACCCTGTCTAGCCTGAGGTCTCTCCACTCTCAAATATCAGAAAAAGAATTATTTCCCTGGTCCATTACAAGTTCCCTACAAACTTTGGGAAGTTCTTCTGCAGTCTGAAAATGGAGTGATGGTGTCAACATTGTGTGAGGACAAGTCTTTGGGCCTCTGGATTTGAGTGGGAGTCCCGGAGGGAGACAGCCAGGGTGAGGCCCCATCACAGGACAGACATCTCTGCGACGCTGGGAGAGAGGAGCACAGCTGGGCTCAGGTGGCTTGGGGTCAGGGTGAACGTCTGGGGGCCTGGGAGGAAGTGGGAGTGCAGTGGGAGGACCTCCGCAGGCCCCAGACAAGTACCTGTCATGACAGTTCCCACAGCCCTGCCCTGGGGTGGGCTCCGGTCCCTCAAAGGGCTGGTGTCGGGTCTGTGCCCACTCCACCTACCTGCACGTAGTTGTCCTCACAGTAGTCGGCGACCCGCAGCAGGGCGCTATGGTTGCCCCGCAGGGCCTCCCGGCCTGTGGGGATTTCAAACTCCTGCAGCTGCTGCAGCTCCGCCATGGCCCGCAGCCTCTGGCGGGCTCCCCAGGGAGCCCGCTAGTTTTGAGCCTCACCCTGCCCTTGATTGGTCGCCGGCCTTCCCTCCCTCTCACCGCTTTTGGTTTCCTCTGCGCCAGAGACCTGAACCTGCCTGCAAAGGGCAGGCATGCTCATTCCGGGACAAGAGGAAGTCAGTCCCTGCTCCCTGGGCCTGCCCCTCTCTGTCCCCTGCCCAGAGGAAGGGGGAAGCTGGGGGCCCTTTTGGGGGACAAGCCCCCCAGTCCCTCCCAGCAGAGGAAACCCAGGTCGGGGCATCTGATTGCTCCCTGGGCTTGGAGAGGAAACTGTTCCGTGGGGGGATGGGGTGGAAGACTGAGGAGGAAGGGGGCAGGCCTGCTCTGGGGGGGGTGGAGATGGATTTTCCACTGATGGAAGGGGAGGAAAGGGCAGAGGGTGGGGGCTTCCTTGGGAAGCTCAGGGATGAGTCACCAAGGGACAGGGAAGTGGAGGATGCATGGGACATGGAGGCCAGTCACGCTGAGGGCTGCATGGTGGTGGAACAGCAATTATGGAAAACAGCCAATGCAGCAGTAAGAGGAATCAGCTTGGGCACTAGGAAGATACAAGCAGAGGTGGCCTGAGAAGTGTTACCAAGCCTCCAAAGGCTTCTATGCAATGAAGACGTGGTATGCATGCTCTGTGTCTGATGCGGGCAGGACTAGATGAAGACCAAATGTAGTATGAGGAGAGCAGCTTAGACAACAGGAAGGACTTAGCTTTAAGAAACACCTGGATCAAGTTCAAGTTCCAGATTAACTGGTCAGTTTTAGGAAGAGGCAGTAGACAGATCACCATGCCAGTCTCAGGATATGGGCTCTATTTCCTACATTAACATGGGAGTTGCACTCGCTGACCTCCAGGGTCCTGTCCTTATCTCAGATTCTTAGAGCTCACAGCTGTGAGTGGATGCAGGTCCTGTAGCAGGGGAAGTTAGGATGGACTCCGGGTCTCCTCCCAACTCCCCCCACCACCCAGTCTGTTATCCTAGAGGCAGGAGAAAAAGAGGATGCCTCACTGACCTTACTGGTCCCCTAAGCATCTGTTCCTCGAGAGGGTCCCCATGCCATTGGACAGGAGTCAGCCTGACCAGGAGCTCAGTGCCTGTTAAACGGCATAACCCTTGAGTGGCCCTGGGAGGAGAGCAAGAGAAAGATCAGGATGTGGGCCCTGTGCTCTGGGACTGATAAGGGAGACCCACACTCGCGTCTCAGAGGGAGGCATGGAGGCAAAGAAGCATACTTACAGGCGTGGGAGGTGGGCATGGCCGCAAGTGCTAACGGGCCCAGCATCCTGAGAGGAGTGCATTTTCATTGAATGAATGAATGAAGACTGAGTTAGGAGAACCTTGGAAGGTAAAACTGTTGGGTGACTCATGGAGAGAAATTGGGAGCTGGCCTAGGACTTACCTCACTGTGAAGAACAGCCTCAGAGCAGGCTGCAGGTAGGGCTTGGAAGAGAAGGCAGGGGGAGGTGAACATGTAAGGCTGGAGGGTGAGAACCAGCTGTAAACCAGAGGTTTGGGGTGGACGCAGGGGGCAGTGTGTGTGCTCTGGCAGCAAGGGGAGGGCTTGGGGGCTCAGGCTGGTGGTGGATGGGCTTAGAATCTTGAGCCTATGAGCAGCTTAGGCATCAGAGCTTTTGGCTTCCAGACCATCTGCTTTAGCTAAAAACTGAGCTGATGAGAAGCCAGGAGGCTCAAACTCCATCTTGTCTGAATCGGGGACAAGTGAAGTGAGCACTTTTTCTTGGCAGGTGAGAGGGGCTGAGCTTGCATGGGCTGGAATCTAGTCTTAGAATTATTGAGGTTAGGCACCAGGCAGGCCTTCCCGCAACCCTGTAGTGATGGAGGAGGGGGAGGAAGAGGATGTTGATACTAGTAACTATAATAATAAATAGTACATGTATTAATGCTCATTATATGCCAGGTAGTGTATTAAAATATTTTATATGCATTACTTTCCTAGTCCTCACTATGATCGGATAAGGGAGGTACTTTATTGTACCTATTTTGCAGATGGGTAACACTAACACTCAAGGAGGTTGAGTGCCTTGCTGAAGTCCACACTGCTTGTAAGCAGGAGAGCTCGGGGCTGGGAGACTCCAGAGCCCTTCTCTTAACCTCTAGAGTACCCTCTGTCCTGACGGACCTGGAGCATCCTGGACACAAAACTTCCACCTGTGTCCTTATGTGGAAAAATAACTGTTTTCTCACTGAAAGAAACCCCTTTCCTTTCTCCATGCTCTGACTCCTGTTTCCTCAGTAGACAGGTCCTTATCCAGGGGCAGTGATTGTGCCTCCCCGTCTGACTGAGAGCATGTTCCCCCCTGAGCCTCGCCCGTGACCGGGCAGGGATAGGTGGAGGCAGTGACTATGTGGAGATGAGGGGCCTGGACCTGGGGGCATGGCCGGGGAAAGGGGAGATGTTGAGGTGTGGAGCCTGCACAGGAGGGAGCTGGAGGGCCCAGGAGATTTGCAATCCCGGCTGTGTTATCTTCTCTGGAACTGGGTCACTTCAGGGCAGGATGGCCCAGGAGCTCGGTGAGAAGGAGCTGTTGAGGATGGAGGTGGAGCAGCTGAGGAAGGAAGTGAAGAACCCAAGGACTCCAGTGAGCACCCCTGCCTCTTCCTGGTCCTCGTGGAGCTGGAGGAGGAAGTGATGGGCAGCGGGGCGGTGGATCTCTCCGGGGCAGTAGAAGGAGTGGGAGGTGCCTCTGGGCTGGGGTAGGATGCAGAAGGAGGCTGGGGTTTGACCCTGTGGAGGTGCTGGGGAGAAAGCCTTAGTGTCCAGCCCTGTCTCAGGCTGGGCTCGGCCCGGTGTCCCTCGGAGCTAAGAGGCAGGCTCTGTGGTTCTCATCAAGGAACTCACACCCCGCCCACACCTGCCTGTCCCTTCTCCTCTCCCACCTCTCTCCTTACCCTGCCCGGAGCCTGTTTTCTGGAACTGACCAAAATCATGGATCCTGAGCAGCAAACAAGAGCTGGAAACACTTTGTTTTCTCACAGATTTCCAAGACAGGAAAGGAGATCAAAGATTATGTGGAGGCCCAAGCAGGAAACGACCCTCTTCTCAAAGGCATCCCTGAGGACAAGAACCCCTTCAAGGAGAAAGGCACTTGTATGATAAGCTGATGGCACCAGAGCCTGGCACCCTGAATGTCTTCCTCTTGAGCCCCACTCCTCACCAGGAACCAGTGTTCTGGGAAATCCAGGGAACCAGCGAATTTCCACTTTCTCTAGGGCACAGAATAATTAAAGCTACCTGGCTCATGCATTGTGAATCCATTCCCCAAGCCCACTTTCAGCCCTTCTCCCCCATTCCCTCCTCCACTTGCTGGGTCACTGCTGACCGCACTCTCTAACACTCTGAGGAAAGCTTCCCTGGCTCGGCCGCTGGGGCTGGGGCCTGAAGAGCCTGCAAAACCCTGAGCTCCCCGACGGCAGCCCTTACTCCTCCGAACCCCTCCCGTTTTCCCCTCCACTCCACTCCTAGGAACCAGCCTTCCCATTCAGAGTAGTTGGGGTTGAGTTGGGGTGTCTTTTCTCCCCATCTCACATGGTCCTCCTCCTAGTCATTTAGATCACCCTAGATGGCCTGATGACAAGAAGAGTTTGTAAAGTCATGCTGTCATGATTTATTAATATGACTGGGCACTGCTGTGTGCTGGGCCCTAGAAGAGTGAGCCAAACTAACATGGAACTTAGCAGAGAAGACGGAACAAAATTCTCACAATCAATGCAGTAAGTGCTGCTACGGGGAAAGGAAAATCAAGGTGGTGTAGGAGCACCCTGCAGACTGGTGTCCATGGTAAGGAACAAGGTCATCGTGAAGCACTGCAGTGGTGGTGGGGGTGCCGAGCTGGCAGAGGTAAGGCATGAGGCCAGAGAGGGAGATGGGGTCAGGCCTGAAAGGAGCTTGATGTGAGCTCAGTTAAAAACTTTCTTCTTAACCCTCATTGCAGTAGGAAGCCTATGGAGGCATTTAAGCGCGGAGGGAGAGACTTTGATTAGCAGAAGTAGGGTGGATCCTGCTAAGGACTTGGGGTACAATGAAGGAGGAGATGGATTCTGGGCCTTGTTAGCAAGGAGATAACTGTTTAAAGGAACCACAGAAAGGCACCTGTGATATGACACATTAGTGGGCCTTTGTGGGAGTGAGGGGGACCCATAGCAGGGCTAACCTACTCCAGCTGAATGGGTGTGTTGCATCCTGGGAGAAAGTCAGGTGGCCTCAGAAGGAGGTGATACCTGGAGCTGAGTCCTAAATGGTTAAGTTGTAAATGGAAGGATGCGTGGCAAATCTGGTTGAAGGGCAATATAAACAGAGGCATAGATATGAGAAAAACAAAAGGAACAAGGTTTGAATGCAAGCACCCATCAAGTCGGAGTTTTTGGTATGTCAAGGGAGAGACCTAGATCCTGAGGATTTGCTGCTGGACAGGTGGGGTTGGAGGCGATCAGCGGGGTCTTGTTTGCTGTACTAAACAACTTTATCTGCTGGGAGTGAGTTGGTAATATATGATTTAGCAGGAAATTGGCTTTTGACAAGATTGAAAGGGAAAGAATGCAGGCAGAGAGACACTTAAGGAGGTAATTGTTTAATTGGGAGAGCCAAGGAAGGCCTGACTTTGGGCAGTGGTTGCAAATCTAGACGGGGAGGTGGGGTGAAGAGTTCTTAGGAAATAAAAGATTTGACATCTCACTGAATGATGGATGAGGGAGTGGGAGTCATCAAGAATGACAAGTTTCTGGCTTTGGGCATTACTAGATAGAATTGAAAGCAAGTATCTGAAAACAAACCTAACATAAAACAGTAATCCCATATAGATCCACAGACTTGCTCAGTGCCCTGTGCCCTGGAGGTCACAACCCAAGGGCAGGACCCTCCTGCTGGTGAGGTCATAGGCCACTGGTCAGAATCCAGGATCTCCCGGGGAGTGTCTGTTCCCTTCCCAATTCCATCTTGATGCCCTCTCACCATTCTGCAACCTAGGATAAACTGAGCCACTCTCAATATACTCCACTCAAGAGAAGAAAAAGAAGAGGAATGAGAAACAGGAAACGTTGAAATACAGTAATTCTTATTTTTCTAAATGTGGAAGGGTAAATATTTCCACGTGGCCCCAGCAGTAAGGAAGGAAAAACAGACAGGGCTGCAGGCCACAAGCTATGGCTTCCTTCTTTCACCCACCCCAACCCTGTGCTCCTACCTTCAGGCAGAATCTCACTGGCTGGGAGCTCTTGGTCTGGGAGTACCTCTAATCTTTACTCCTGAGACATTAAGCCTCGTGGTAGTGCTCTGCATTGAGTAGCAGTTTCTTCACCTTTTCTCAGGGCATGGTGCCCTGGGTGTCCCATGTGTTGACTCTTCCCAGACACCCCAAGTACGATAGTAACAATCATAGGTCCATTGATTCTCAAGGTCAGTCATTGGCCCAGCACCCCGACCCCCTTTTCGATCTGTTTTCCTAGCGCCAGAACGAGCCTCCAATGGCTAAGGGCAATCTCAGCTCCTGTGTCGAAAGAATTGATATTTTGTGCCCTGGCTGCAGTGTTCCTTCCTTGCAGCCCTTCACATTAGCAAGTTCAGAGGATGAGACTGATCATTCTGGGAGTGGGTCATTGAAATGAACTGAGCCATCCATCCCTACCTGTATCCCATAGAGCCCTGAGTTTTTTAGCCATGAAAGAAAAGCATCTTGTGTTGTTTGTGTTTCAGAGCACACCTAGCAGCCTTTTGACAGCCCCTCATCTTTGCAAAGTGATGTTTCCTAGCTGGCACTGAACTGGGGCTTTACCACATCAGTCTCTTCTCTCTGCAAAGCCAGCAGCTTCCAGATGATGGTCACATGGCGAGATTAGCAAATCCTGCCAACATTAGCCTCTTGCCTTCATTTTTTTTTTAAGTTCCACAGTTTTATCTTGAAAAAATTTTAGATTTACAGAAGAGTTGCAAAGAGAGTACAGCAAGTTCCCATAAACTCTTCAGCCAACTTCCTCTAGTGTTAACGTTTTACATCATCATTTGTATTTTTATTAAAACGAAGAAATTAACATTGGTACAGTACTGTTAACTAAACTCCATCCAGACTTTATTTGGATTTCCCTAGCTTTTCCGCTAATGTCATTTTTCTGTTCCAGGATCGACATTATACTAAGTGTCTTACTTATTTTTGCAGGGAAGAGCTTCTAAATTCGCGGTAGTATTGTCTGGGATACCATGGCCATCCAGAAGACATTAGTAAGCCCATAGATGGCAGTGTTGTCAGGAACCCTACAGGAAGGGAACGCAACTCCAATTCCTGCATAAGTGCCTATTCCAGGAACAACTCCCTGTTCCGTCCAGTGACCTGCCATCTGAGGTTGCCTTGAGGTCTGGTATTGTGTGAGGGGCTCAGAATTGTCACCATTGCTGGAGGTCAGAATCCAGGATCTCCCGGGGAGTGTCTGTTCCCTTCCCAATTCCATCTTGATGCCCTCTCACCATTCTGCAACCTAGGATAAACTGAGCCACTCTCAATATACTCCACTCAAGAGAAGAAAAAGAAGAGGAATGAGAAACAGGAAACGTTGAAATACAGTAATTCTTATTTTTCTAAATGTGGAAGGGTAAATATTTCCACGTGGCCCCAGCAGTAAGGAAGGAAAAACAGACAGGGCTGCAGGCCACAAGCTATGGCTTCCTTCTTTCACCCACCCCAACCCTGTGCTCCTACCTTCAGGCAGAATCTCACTGGCTGGGAGCTCTTGGTCTGGGAGTACCTCTAATCTTTACTCCTGAGACATTAAGCCTCGTGGTAGTGCTCTGCATTGAGTAGCAGTTTCTTCACCTTTTCTCAGGGCATGGTGCCCTGGGTGTCCCATGTGTTGACTCTTCCCAGACACCCCAAGTACGATAGTAACAATCATAGGTCCATTGATTCTCAAGGTCAGTCATTGGCCCAGCACCCCGACCCCCTTTTCGATCTGTTTTCCTAGCGCCAGAACGAGCCTCCAATGGCTAAGGGCAATCTCAGCTCCTGTGTCGAAAGAATTGATATTTTGTGCCCTGGCTGCAGTGTTCCTTCCTTGCAGCCCTTCACATTAGCAAGTTCAGAGGATGAGACTGATCATTCTGGGAGTGGGTCATTGAAATGAACTGAGCCATCCATCCCTACCTGTATCCCATAGAGCCCTGAGTTTTTTAGCCATGAAAGAAAAGCATCTTGTGTTGTTTGTGTTTCAGAGCACACCTAGCAGCCTTTTGACAGCCCCTCATCTTTGCAAAGTGATGTTTCCTAGCTGGCACTGAACTGGGGCTTTACCACATCAGTCTCTTCTCTCTGCAAAGCCAGCAGCTTCCAGATGATGGTCACATGGCGAGATTAGCAAATCCTGCCAACATTAGCCTCTTGCCTTCATTTTTTTTTTAAGTTCCACAGTTTTATCTTGAAAAAATTTTAGATTTACAGAAGAGTTGCAAAGAGAGTACAGCAAGTTCCCATAAACTCTTCAGCCAACTTCCTCTAGTGTTAACGTTTTACATCATCATTTGTATTTTTATTAAAACGAAGAAATTAACATTGGTACAGTACTGTTAACTAAACTCCATCCAGACTTTATTTGGATTTCCCTAGCTTTTCCGCTAATGTCATTTTTCTGTTCCAGGATCGACATTACACTAAGTGTCTTACTTATTTTTGCAGGGAAGAGCTTCTAAATTCGCGGTAGTATTGTCTGGGATACCATGGCCATCCAGAAGACATTAGTAAGCCCATAGATGGCAGTGTTGTCAGGAACCCTACAGGAAGGGAACGCAACTCCAATTCCTGCATAAGTGCCTATTCCAGGAACAACTCCCTGTTCCGTCCAGTGACCTGCCATCTGAGGTTGCCTTGAGGTCTGGTATTGTGTGAGGGGCTCAGAATTGTCACCATTGCTGGCTCATTGGTGGAACTGCATTGGCCTTGATAGAGGATGCCTGTGCTGTTCCACTCAAGCATAACCTCTACTCCCACCTGTCTGGCTGCTTTGTTTCACGAGCCCTAGTCAGCCTAGTGGTCATCCAGTCTATGGGGTTAGAAAGAGCCTCTTCTGCTGGGTGACATGGGTCGGGGAGAGCTTCTGGTAAACCTGTTCATGACTGTGGGTAAAACTGCAATATTTCCAGAATCTCTCACCTGTCTTTAGTGCATCTGCATATCAATAGGTGTTTCAAGGGGTGGAGAAAAGTGGTTATCTACATATCAATAGGTAATCACCAGGGTGTGTGAGGGTTTATCTGGACTGGAGAGAGTGGGTGGAGCTCTCTTCTGCTGCAGCCTGGTCAAGAGAGATGGGATGACTGCTTGTAAGAAGTAAACCGGTTTTTTAAACTTTTTTTCTCCCATTGACTGATTCAGTTTCAGAAGTGTTTTGCCCCAGGATTTTCCCCCGGAGTTACAATGACACTTGAATATTTGCAGTCTCTGAACTCACCCTAACGGAACCAGCCACATAGCTCACCCCACATAAACTTGTCTTCAGTCCTTCG